GTGTAGGGACGTTCACCTGCGTTGACCCGGAGGTGACGAATGAGGGCCCAGGTGTCCACGAAGCTCCACTCACCCTTGGAACACCTGAAAGGCCTTTCTTTCGTATGGACACGTTGGTGACAATTCAAATGATCACAAGTGCTGAAGCTCTTCCCACGCTCAGCGCACTTGTACAACTTCTTGCCCATGTGGATCTGACAGTGCCAGGTTAACTCGGAATTGTCAACAAAACCCTTCCCACCCTCCAGACACCTGAAGGGTCTCTTGCCCATGTGGATTGGCTGGTGCTGGGTTAAATTTGATGGAAAGGGAAAACTTTTCCCACAGCCAAGACACTCGTAGGACGTGGCGCTGGGGTGAGGGCATCACCTGGGACCAGACACGAGGTGGCTCCAACGGGGCCACACCTGTAGGACCACTCTACCCCCATGGATGGCCCAATGATGGAGATGGGCCGGGTGGATCCTGACCCTTTCCCACATTCCTCACCAATGGCAAGTTCTTCTCCTGGATGGATTCAATGATGCTTCACCAAGGTCGAGCAGTGAGCAAAAGCTCTCCCACCCTCAGGGCACCCAGAGGGGCTTTCACCCAGGTGGATCCTCCAATCAGTCAATAAAGCTGAATGTTGGTTCAATCTGTGGCCGCTCTCGGGGCACTTCCAGGGTTGTGTCCCGGGTGGATCTGCCAATGGGTCAGTAAAGCCAAAGAGCTGCCAAACCTTTCCTGCACTCCTCGTGGCTCGGGGTACCCCCACTGTTGTTGTTCCTAAACCCACCTGTGTGGGGAACACCCCTCTATGCTGTGTCCTGGGTTTGGTTTCTGCTAAGGGGGAGATTGGTGGATGGAGGAGGTCACCCCAAGTCTGTAAAAGAAGCCATTGTGGGATGGCAGTTTATGGTTGAGGGTTTTTTGAGAGGACAGCAGCTCAGAGCCCTGCTCCCCTGAACTCCCCAAAACCCACCTGTGTGGGGGTCACCCCTCTACTCGCTGTCCCTGGTTTGAGGGACCGGTGGTGGTGTCACATCCAACCTGCTCTGGGAGGAAATGGGGTGCAAGGTGAAACAGGGGGGTTACTCATGGAGTTGGGACACCTGCCCCCAGCCTTGACTGGGCTGCAAGGGCTACACTGGCACCCCAAACCAGTGGGGTAGGAGGAGGGCACTGGGTGGGACAGGGAGGCTTGTGTGGACCCTGGGGGTCTCAAACCACCCCTGGGAGAGGCTTGTTGGATACTGGGGGGGCTGTGGGCTGAAATCCCAGAATCCTGCTGGTTGGAAAAGACCTTGAAGATCATCGAGTCCAACCATAGCCCAGCTCTACCAAGTGCAGCGCTTAAATCCACGTCCCTCAGCACCACCTACAGGGCTTTGAAACTCCTTCAGGGATGGTGGCTCAGCCACCTCCCCGGGCAGCCTGGGCCAGTGTCCAGTGATCCTTTTTTTCAGGGAAGAAGTTTCTCCTTATCTCCAATCCAAACCACCCCCTGGGGCAACCTGAGCCCATTTCCTCTTGCCCTGTTGCTTATTCCCCCTTTTTGTTCAAGCACTGCTGAAACTGTGGGAGACCAGCAGAGTTATTTTCTGTCCCACAGTGAATTGACGAGTCTCCTGGATGTTAAGGACGACTGCAGCTCACAGGCCATCCCTTGCTTGCTTCATCCAACTGCTTGGAGAATAGTGGCTTTACGGAAAGTCCATGGTTATAAATCCAAAGGTGACACCAACTTGTCATTCCCAAAAAGGTCCATAGTTCTTTTACCATCTGTCATAGAGATGTCTGACAAATGGCTCCTTTTCACCCCATCCCCAGCATTGGCTGTCAGGACTTGCTGTTGGATCAGCTGTGCTTTCCGTGGAGAGACCCAATACCCCATTAAGGCCCCAAAAGTTCAAAAGACTCACAGTACAGCTTCTACTGTTTTCCTTTGTCCTGGTGGCAAGCAGTAAATAATCCACATGCTGAAGAAAAAACCCTTCAGGCTATGGGAGCTCCCAAGTCTCAAGGTCTTTCTCTAACTGATTCCCAAAGACAGCAGGACTATTTCTGAATCCTTGAGGTCTCACAGTGCAGGTTAGCTGGGATTTCTCCCAGTGTCTGGGTTTTCCCATTCAAAAGCAAACAGAGGCTGGCATTTTGGAGCTGGAGGTAGGCAGAAAAATGCATTCTTTAGCAACCCGCCACTTCCCCACCGAAGGTTCTTCTTGCTCCTTCCTTTGCATCTCAGCCCCGCGCTGCTCCTTGCCCTGGGTTTGCTGGGACAGAATTAATGACAAAATCATTGTTTTCTCTTCAGAGGAGCCGTGTGTTTGGGAGGCTGCAGAGCCCAACTCTGCGGGAACGTGGGGGATCAGAGGGGTTGGGTTGGGTTGTCCCCAGCTCTGGGGTGTGGGTGTCACGGGGACCAGGGGCAAAGGCCAGAGCAGCTGCCCCGATCCAGCCAAGCCCAGAATTCCATCCCACCACTGTTCCACTGCAACTGATATCAGTTATTAATTGAAATAAGTAAAATTTGAGGGGAAAAAAATCACATTTGGGAAAAAACCAACCAACAAACAAAAAAACATCAAAGAGAACATAAGGAGTCTTGTTAGAAATCAAGCTCTCTGTCACTTTTTTGGGTATACAAGCAGTACTTATTTTTCAGGAAGCTGAGCTTACCCTGTGGAACACCTCCCTGCTCCCTCTTCTGGGCAGAACTGGAGATTAAAGCAAACCTCTCCACCCTGCGTGTGGGTTGGCTTCTTGCCCATTGGGTGACGGACCCGCTGTAGGGACGACAAGCCCAGTTTGGTTTCTGTTGGGGGCATGGGTGGATGGGGGGGATTGAACTCAAGTCTGTAAAAGCAGCCAGTGAGGACGGCATAGGGATATGGTTTTTTTGAGGGACAGCAGCCCCACAGCCACCACCTAAAACCCACCTGTGTGTGGGTCAACACTCTACTCTCTATCCTGGTTTTGGGAGATGGGTGTGGGGGTCACATCAAATGTGCTCTGGGAGAAAATGGGGTGCACGGTGTTAACAGGGGGTTACCCATGGAGTTGGACACTCCCCATCATTCTTAACTGGGCTTTATGGGCTATGCTGGCACCCCAAAGCAGCAGGGTACAGAGGCACTGGGTAGGACAGGGTGAAAGCACCATGCACTTGTCAACCCACCACCCGTGGACCAGGAGCTGAGGCTGGTACAGCCAGACTGAGTTACAGACTTAAGGGTTAGATTTGCCCAACCTATATGATGCTGTAGAATGGAATCTGTTCATGTTTGTTAGAGGTGTTGTGTTGAACTGGGATGTGTCTTCCTGAGAGCCCAAGCAGCAGGATTCACTGGGTACATCAGCCAGCCTGTCAGAGTGAGGAACAACATGACCCAGCACAGCAAAGACCACGAACCTTCCTCCCAGAGACCCCTGCCCAGACCCCCCAGAGGCAGTGCACATGTGGGAGGGGGTGTAGCTTGATGTTAATGACTTCAGGGAAGTGATTTAAATATGATCATGAATTCAGGGAATTACTCTGTACTATCCTGCCTACCTTTTAGAGAAGATTTTTAGGTGAATAAACACGACCTGTTCTTGTCCTTCGGGGTGTGTGTTTGGAGGAGCGACCCCCGCACCCAGCGCTGCAATAAAGAACCTGCTCTAGAGCTTCTTAGGGCTCTGGAGACTTTCCTTGTGTCAGGATCCCAACTCATCCCAGTGTAGGGGGCTGCAATTGAGGACCCCCAAATCATAGCACTGGACCAAACTCATTGCAGGGGTGGAGGGGCTGATATGGGGAACCTGCCTGAAAGGAGGTTGCAGGGAGGGGTGTCGATCTCTCCCAAGGAATAAGCAACAGGGCAAGAGGAAATGAGCTCAGGTTGCCCCAGGGGGTGGTTTGGATTGGAGATAAGGAGAAACTTCTTCCCTGAAAAAAAGTCTCCAGAGAAGCTCAATCCATCCCAGTTGCTCTCGCACATCAAAAGCAGCTCCAGTGCCTCTCTGGTTGGGCTGCCTTTCCTGAAAAGGATATGGCCACCTCTGACCACGTTCCAGCCATGGGAACTGTCCCACTGTGGCTCAGGAACTGCCAGGAGATTGTGGCCCTGTGACCTAACGCAGCATCCCCCGGACCCACTCAGCATCCCCCGTTCTGCTCCAGGCCCCACTGAGACCCCCCCCCCCCCCGGGTCCTTCCCCATCCCCAAACATCTCAGAACCCCCTCCAGCATCTCCTAGACCCACTCCACGTTCCCCCTGTTCTCCCCCAGGGACCTCTCAGAGCCCCCAGGGTCCTTCTCCACCCCCAAACATCTCAGACCCCTCCAGGCCCCCTCAGGACCCCCCAGGGATCTCATCGCTCCCTGCAGGGGTCAATGCAGCCCCCATGGGGGGTCCCTGAGGCCCACAGGCACACCCAGAGGGGCTAGCAGCCCAGAGGCAGGGGGTTCAGGGCCTTTATTGAGTGTAGAGACTGGCGGCAAAGACGATGTCCCTGCGGATGCTGGACGAGGC